CAAAGATAATAATTTAATGATTAAGCTTCAACTTTTAATTTGCTGGCAAAGTCTGAAGACACTGCAGGTATGGCAGGATGAATTGCATTTAAACAGGAATTAAAGTAATTTATTACATCTACTCAAATGTGTGTAATTAAGTATTTTATATGTGTGTGTGTGTGTGTGTGTGTTTAATTGCTCTTTTAGCTACTTTTGCCTGAACCTAACACTGTAAGTGAAACAAGGCATTTCTTGAGTTGCTGTAAATTATGATATAAAACATATTTACTGTCTCATTCCAGAAAACAACAAACAACAACATCCTTCATGATGGACAGACATCATGGACACCACAGCAGCAGCTGTCTTCACTGAAACATCCTGAACATGATCGTCACTGACATGAGGCCTCTGTCCATGGTTGAAGACGAAGGCTTCACTACAATAATCCACACTTTTAATCCAGGTTACAATGATCCACACTTTTAATCCAGGTTACAATAATCCACACTTTTAATCCAGGTTACAATAATCCACACTTTTAATCCAGGTTACACTCTTCCCTCAAGGACACAGTTTACAAAGTAGCTACATATTGTGCAGGTATAAAGATACATTTGTATATATTTTTGTGTACATTAATTTTTTTAAGCTATTTGACTAACTTTTATTTTTTATTATTCAATATTTTACTAACAGAATTGTCAAATAGCAACCTGTTTTTTGTGCTAATTTCTGTCAGTGAAATGTTCAATTTTGGAATAAAGGGGTGGAAATTAAAACATTGTTTTTTTTTTTTTGCCGATTCGTCGATTAATCGAAAAAATAATCGGCTGGTGAATCGATTATTGAAATAATCGTTAGTTGCAGCCCTACATCTGACGCATTTTAATGTCAGTTTCAGCTTCTTTTTGACGGCATTTAAGCTTAAACTGGAGTTCATCCTTGCGTTCCCTTTCTCTGGCTTCCAGTTCAAGACGAGCCAGACGCACCTTTAAACGAGCACCAACACTGGGATTTGTGGACTCAGTAGAAAAAGGCTCAAACCGTGAGAGAGAGGCTGGTGATTTACCCCCCTCTGGTTTTGCAGAAGCAGGTGTCCTCGTTCCATCCTCAGCACAAACCTCAGGCTGATCAGCAGGTTCAGATGAGGTGGCATCCTCTTCATCCGTTTCCAATGAGAATACTCCGTTTTCGACCAAGCTACTAAAGACAAGAGATTTTAATTCACTTTTGAGCATAGACTTAGATACAGAGATACCATAATGTGAAGCAACTGCACATAAATCATCTTTCCTACAGACATCAAACTGTTGTAAGGTAGGATTCCTAAAAAACTCCTCCATACTAAACTGTGCTATGTTCAAAATAATCCCGGACGAGAGCCCCCACTTATGTTACCACCTCCTCAAAACAACAAAAGGTTAATTTCTGGCACTAGGTGTAACACAAACAACTAGCTGTTGATGTCGGTAAAAGAATCATTTTATTTTACAATTTAGGAAAAAATGTCAAACACCAGGGCAAAATAATAGGGAAAACAAACAAACAAACATTGGGAAGCTTTAAGATTCAGGGTCTCCAAGGCCAAAATAATAAACAAAACACCCCCTTTCAACTATGAAAATAAAATACCACTAGCTAGAAGTAAACTTAAAAGTACAAAGGCTGAGCTCCCTGGCTATCCACAAAACAGGAGAAAAAGGTTTGTAACAAAAATGGCAGAGAACCCCTACCAGCTTCCTCTGTGAAAACTAAACCCTTTCCTTTACAGCTATTCAATCAATTGCTCACACAGTACTTGTATTACAACAACCTGCCCAAAAGTGTACACAGCACAGACAAGATCACTGCAGATCAAGGCCCAGCAAAAAAAGGGGCCTGCCGCCTCTGAGATGAAGCTCTTTATGGAGTGGTTGACGAGCTGCAACACATCTCACCTGTGGCAGGCAGGTAACTCTGAAACACAAGAAGAAAAAGCTCCCTCATGAAGAGAGCCCCTAGATGTTAGTGACCGTAACAGCGTCCAGGAGGCATCCTAAACAAATGCCCGAGCCACCTCAACTGGCTCCTCTCGACGTGGAGAAGCAGCGGCTCTACTCTGAGTCCCTCCCGGATGATCGAGCTTCTCACCCTATCTCCAAGGGAGAGCCCAGACACCCTGCGGAGAAAAATAATTTTGGCCACTTGTATCCGAGATCTCGTTCTTTCGGTCACAACCCAAAGCTCATGACCATAGATGAGGGTAGGAACGTAGATCGATCGGTAAATTGAGAGCTTCGCCTTTTGACTCAGCTCTCTCTTCACCACGACAGACCTGTACAGCATCCACTTCACTGCAGACGCTGCACCTGTCCGCCTATCGATCTCACGTTCCATTTTTCCCTCATTCAAGAACAAAACCCCAAGATACTTGAACTCCTCCACTTGGGACAGGACCTCCTCCCTGACCCGGAGAGGGCACTCTACCCTTTTCCGGCTCAAAACCATGACCTCGGATTTGGAGGAACTGATCTTCATCCCGGCCGTGTCGCACTCAGCTGCGAACCGCTCCAGCAAAAGCTGTAGATCACGACCTGATGAAGCCAATAGGACCACATCATCTGCAAAAAGCAGAGACACAATCCAAAATGGATCCCCTCAACACCTTGGCTGTGCCTAGAAATTCTGTCCATAAAAGTTATGAACAGAATTGGTGACAAAGGGCAACCTTGGCGGAGTCCAACTCTCACCGGGAACAAGCCCGACTTACTGCCTGCAATGCGGCCCAGGCTCTGACACCGGTCATACAAGTCTAGTCAAGTCACATTTATTTACAGTGCCTTGTGAAAGTATTCAGCCCCCTTGAACTTTTCAACCTTTTGCCACATTTCAGGCTTCAAACATAAAGATATAAAATTTTATTTTTTTGTGACGAATCAACAAGTGGGACACAATTGTGAAGTGGAATGAAATTTATTGGATGTGTCAAACTTTTTTAACAAATAAAAAACTGAAAAGTGGGGCGTGCAATATTATTCGGCCCCTTTACTTTCAGTGCAGCAAACTCAGTCCAGAAGTTCAGTGAGGATCTATGAATGATCCAATGTTGTCCCAAATGACTGATGATGATAAATAGAATCCACCTGTGTGTAATCAAGTCTCTGTATAAATGCACCTGCTCTGTGATAGTCTCATTGTTCTGTTCAAAGCGCAGGGAGCATCATGAAGACCAAGGAATACACCAGGCAGGTCCGAGATACTGTTGTGGAGAAGTGTAAAGCCAGATTTGGCTACAAAAAGATTTCCCAAGCTTTAAACATCCCAAGGAGCACTGTGCAAGCAATCCTATTGAAATGGAAGGAGTATGAGACCACTGCAAATCTACCAAGACCCGGCCGTCCCTTTAAACTTTCATCTGGAACAAGGAGAAGACTGATCAGAGATGCAACCAAGAGGCCCATGATCACTCTGGATGAACTGCAGAGATCTACAGCTGAGGTGGGAGAGTCTGTCCATAGGACAACAATCAGTCGTACACTGCACAAATCTGGCCTTAATTGCAAGATTATGGGATAAGAGGGATAGTTCATAACTGGTTGAGTAGTTATTTGTCTATCTGAAAACAATTTGTACAGCTAGGAAATGAAAAATCAGATCTTCAAATTATAAAATGTGGAGTCCCCCAAGGTTCAGTACTAGGACCAAAGCTTTTTCTTTTGTTTATCAATGACATTTGTGAAGTGTCCAAAAAGTTATAAATCATTCTGTTTGCAGATTATACAAATTTATTTTGTTCTGGGAATGACTTAAAAAACATTATATATGAGATAATGAGATGTCTAAATTTAATGAGTGGTTTAAATACAACATATCAATAAACTGGAATAAAACAAAATTCATGATTTTTGGTAATAGAAAAATAGATGATTCTGTTATAATGTCTATAGATGATAATCAAGTTGAACGAGTACATGAAGTTGAATTTTTAGGGGTTGGTTTAGATCATAAACTTAACTGGAAATCTCATATAAAATACATAAAACTAAAACTATGCAAAACTATTGGACTTCTAAATAAAGGAAAACATGTTTTAGAACTATCAACACTACAGACATTATATTATTCATTTGTTGTTCCATATTTGACTTATTGTATAGAGGTATGGGGCAACACATATAAAACCAACACTAAACCGTTGTCTGTCTTACAAAAGAAAGTTATGAGAATTTTATATAAAGTGGACACTAGAGAACACACAAATAGTTTATTCAGTCAAATATTTTGAAACCAAGGGATCTGGTTAATTTAAAAATGCTATTGGTTATGTTTAAAGCTAGAAAGAGATTATTGCCATTTAATTTACAAAAGTTCTTTTTCTTAAGTTCATGTGATAGAAATAACAGAAGGAAGTATGATTTCAAAAGTAAAACTGTGCGTACTACTTTAACACAAATGTGCATTTTGGTGCATGGAGTAAAACTATGGAACAGTTTGGATGAGGAGTTAAAAAATGTTCTACTATAAACCAATTCAAAACACTTTATAAAAAAAGGATGATTAACTCTTATACACTTTTGAGTTGTTAATGGGAAGAGTGATATATTGTTATGCATGTTTTTGTTGTTGTTGTTTGCAACTTGTTTTGTTAATTTAATGTATACGGCCATGACATTGTTGTAATTATTGAGAAAGGGGGCAGGTCAATACAAGATTTTCTTCTTTCTGCTCCCTCTTCACTCGTGTAAATAAGTGTTATCAGAGAATGTGTTTGTAAACTGATGATCAACTTTTTTTTAATCGAGTGAATAAATTGATTGATTGAATATTTGAGTCAAAAATCTCACTGCCATTTCTCCTAGTCATTTCCAAATCGCCACTGGTATGTCATTAGGTGTACCGCCTTCCTCGTTTTCATTCTGTTCAGAGCTTTCTGAACTTCACCCTTACTAATCTTTCCCACTTCCTGGTCCACAGCTTAAAATAATTGTATGTGTGAATGTTAAAGTAACATTGTCCTTAATGTACATGTGTTTCAGTGGTTCCTGCCTATGTTTGGTGCGGATTAGAAGAAGAACCTTCTCAAGATTAAAGGCCTGATTTGGACCAGCAGGACCCAGATCCTCTTATCATAAAGTGGAAGAGAAGACCTTTTTAACCAGTCTGATGGGAGACAAACTCAAAATGGAGGAGACCAATATCAGATTTTTGGTCACTGCAGTTTCTGTAAAAAGTGACGAAGACAAAGAAAAACTTACCAGGAACACAGATTTGAAGACTCACAATGACGGTTTCAGCTCTTCAAAGACTGACATTAATGAGCACAATGAAGAGGATGGTGAAATGACTAATCCCAACTCTCAGCTAAAGAACTTATCAGACTCTGAATCAGAACGTGAAGACAGTATCAAAGAGTGGAATGAGAGCAGAGCTCCTGAGTCAGAGGTAAAAACTATCACCAAATCTCTGAGTTGCTCTCAGTGTGGAAAGCAGTATGTCAGTAACCGGACTCTTCAAAGACACATGGCAAGTCATTCAGGAGTAAAGTCTTCAAGCTGTCAGGTTAATAAGAAATGTGTTGGAGAGAATGTAGAGTTAGGCAGAAAATTCCATGCACGGCCAAAATCAATAAGCTGTGATGACTGTGGTAAAATATTTACTTGCAAAGCATATCTAAACTCCCACTTGAGGGTCCACACAGGAGACAAACCATTTCCTTGTGATCTTTGTGGACAAAGATTTAGTCATAAAACAAATTTAAACTCGCACATGAGAGTCCACACAGGAGACAAACCATTTCCTTGTGATCTCTGTGGACAAAGATTTAGTCTAAAGACATCTTTAAACACACACATGAGAGTCCACACAGGAGAAAAACCGTTTCCTTGTGAACTTTGTGGACAAAGATTCAGTCACAAGACAACTTTAAATACACACATGAGGATCCATACAGGAGACAAACCGTTTCCTTGTGATCTATGTGGACAAAGATTTAGCCAGAAGGCACATTTAATTACGCACATGAAGGTCCACACAGGAGACAAACCGTTTCTTTGTGATCGTTGTGAACAAAGATTTAGCCTGAAAACAACTTTAAACAGACACATGAGAGTCCACACAGGAGACAAACCGTTTTCTTGTGAAATTTGTGGACAGAGATTTAGCCAGAATGCAAATTTAAACACCCACATGAGAGTCCACGCAGAAGACAAAATGTTTCCTTGTGAATTTTGTGGACAAAGATTTAGATGGAAGACGAATTTAAATTCCCACATGAGAGTCCACACAGGAGACAAACCATTTCCTTGTGAGTTTTGTGGACAAAGATTCAGTTGGAAGACGACTTTAAACTCACACATGAGAGTCCACACAGGAGAGAAACCATTTCCTTGTGAACTTTGTGGACAAAGATTTAGCCTGATGAAAACGTTAAACATCCACAAGAGAGTCCACACAGGAGACAAACCATTTCTTTGTGACCTTTGTGGGCAAAGATTTAGCCAGAACGCAAATTTAAATGCCCACATGAGTGTCCATACAAGAGACAAACCATTTCCTTGTGATCTTTGTGGGCAAAGATTTAGCCGGAAGGCAAATTTAAACACACACATGAGAGTCCACACAGGAGACAAACCGTTTCCTTGTGAACTTTGTGGACAAAGATTTAGTCTAAAGGCAAATTTAAACTCGCACATGAGAGTTCACACAGGAGACAAACCATTTCCTTGTGAACTTTGTGGACAAAGATTTAGTCAGAAAACAACATTAAACACACACATGAGAGTCCACACAGGAGTGCAAATTTTCTTACAGTAAATAATAAAATCATTATTAAAGGCCATGAGATAAAACTGGTATCTTACCACCCATCTCAGTTTTGGGTTTATTTTGTAAAATAAATATTATTCTTTGACAAATTTCAACAAGTTCCCAAATTATTAGTTGCTCCTAATTTCTTAAGAATAATTTAAAATTAAACAAATTAAGCCTTTGTTCATTTTTTGGACTTTAGATGTTAGCACAGAAACTGAACCAGTTTCTGTGCTAAATGTTGAGAGAACCAACCAACCAATCAAATTACTTGGATTTTCAAACGGCCGACTCCCCCATGAAATGTTTTTTTGTAATTCTTGTGGAAAATAAGTTATTTAAATAATTGGTCAACTGGTTAATTAATGGGTCTCTTACAAATTAGACATTTGTGTTTCAATGCGACTAACCTGGGTAAATGATAGAAATGAAATGAATTCATGTTTCCGAGAGAAGTTAGTAAAAATAAATTAAGGAATCTGCATGTTAAAGCAAACATCAAGATGGTACAATTGCCACTAAACTTTTTGAAAGTTACAAAGATGCTTCACTGATAATTCTATGATAGAAATTTCCAAAAAGTGAACCAAAAACATTAAAACTAGACCTGATGACTTCTGCATGGCCGCACCACCACAAAAAGTGCCAGATTGTCTTTACTTGCTAATGAGAGCATTTCACAGCAGTCGCCTAGATGAAACAACCATGTGTTGCCTGAATAGTGCATAATCTGCACTGGGGAGTTGTTCATCAGGATTCCCCATAAAAGGACCAGAGGTTAGGGAGGAATTGTCTCAATGTGAGTATTCGTCTGGTGAGTTAGAAAGAACTCAATGTGGTATGGCCATAGATTTTAAGGTTTCAGGATAATGGGCTTTAAAAATGAAGTCCTGCTCAGAATATAACTACAGGTAAAATATTAGTTTCTCTGTACCATTAGAATAGAAAACCTGACTTGTGTCATTTCCATCAAATATTTATTTAAATTGGAGCACCACAGGGATCAATATTTGGCCTTTTTGGCAGTTTTATTTTTAAGTTACTACAATGTCATAAGCTGAATAATATTTATGTCACGTCATCAAGTCAAAATATGGATGAAACAATGTCAGAATTTTTTGGGTTAAACTCCAACTTTACTGTAGTATTAGGCTACTTTTATACATGGAGCTAAAATTACCTGACACCATCTTGCACCTAACTCATGTGGAGTTTGCTTGCCCCCACTGATTTGGCAAATGCATTGTTGCCTCACAGCTAGGGGTTAAACGACTACATATTTTTAAAAGTCGACTTTAACATGTTAAAAGTGGAGTCGACTTTGACTAGTCGATGACGTTATAGCAACTCAAGACACTATATCATATTTGAAAAAAGAAAAAAAGTCATTATTATTTACAAAAAAAAGAACAACAAAACATTGAGCGGATATTTATGCTCCTACCATTTATCATACTGCAAATAAGTCAAAGGAAAAGCAAAACTATTATCAAGCTGCAAAATTGCTGCTGGGGAGGGGGCTGCGACTAGTCGACCTGAAATATAAAAACTCGCAAGACAGACTAAAATCGACTAGTCAATTAGTCTATTCAAGCCCTACGAGGTCCTGGGTTCAATCCCTGTTTGGACCTGGGGTTTTTCTGTGTGGAGTTTGCATGTTCTTCTCGTGCTTGCGTAGGTTTTCGCCGGGTACTCTAGTTTCCTCCCACAGACCAAAAACATGCATGTTAGGCTGCCTTCAGGCCCAGGCCTCCCTTGCAAAAGAGATCTATGATCTCAATGGGATTTGCCTGGTTAAATAAAGGTTAAATAAAAAATAAATAAAATAAACTCAAAAACCTAATACAGGATTTGTCCTATGGCCTGTTAAAGACCCACAAGAGGTCACAAAGGACTAAAGTGCACAGTTATCAGGTTTGTTCTTAAATAGTCTGTGAGGTGTAGATGTTTATGGTCCATTACTACAGTTACTATCCACATACAGTATGTAGGTTGTGTGTTCTGAATGCTGTTTATGCTTAAATGTTTTTAAGCTATTCTCTGAAGGTCAATTTTTTTTATACAAAGGTAATTCTTAACTAGTTGTTTTTACTTAGTTTATTTGTGTACATATTCCTGATTGTTCTTTGTTGTCTTTTGTATTAGAATAGCAAAAAACACGACCCAAAATACACCACAGACCTTTTCAGTTGTAAAGCAAGTAATTGCAGCTTTTATCTGAATGACTACAAATTGAAAAGTAGCTGTGTTGTTGCATCCAAATATTTGATGGAAATCATAGTGTTGTCACCCAGATACAGTTTATCCTGATGCTTGCTCAATAATCCAGGTAGTCTGGTAGGTATGTCTGCCAATATAGTTTAAATATGATGTCTTAAATGTAAATATTGTTTTGCTTGTTCGTCTGATTAAATTATTATTATTTTTAATAAAGTGTCCAAAGTTATTTAACATTTTAATAGTTTTCATTCAACTTTTATTTATACAATCAATTCGGCTGTTTGGAGTCACCATCAGAGAAATGTACCAGCGAGACTTTAAAAGGCAGAAACAGCAATTTACAAGTTCTGCTTGACCCAAACTGTGGCCTTGATGACGGACTTATCTCAGTCCCACCTGGTATGTTAAGGAAAAACAAAGATGCTTTGTCTGTCTCCTCACCCCTCCCTTCCCCAAGGCCGTGGACATGTGACGGAACCTCAACCGAGCTGATGATAAATAACACCTCTTATCTGGACAATGGCTGAGAGGGGGTGCTCTGGACTATGCTACGACCTTCCCTTAAAAATCAGTCTTCACCGGCCTATATGTATCGCGTCTATTTATGTGCTATGCTGTTGTAGGCTTTTTTTAATGCCTCAAATCATGCCCTGTCTAGGACAAGGTGTGAGAGAGCTTTTTTTATACCGTCTCTCCTCATGTTTTCTTCCCTTTTCTCATCTAAGCAAAAATATTATTCTGAAGAGAATAATAGGGTGCTAATTAGCAGCAGCTTTGTGCACTACATCCATCTTTCGGACTGTACGTACATGTTCTCTTCGTATCTTGGTTAGGGATGGGGCAGATCCGATCCAGTATCGGTATCGGCTTCTGATACCAACATAATTTACGTATCGGATTTTCCGATCCACCTGCCGATATTTTCGATCCATGATGCATGTCTGTGGTTGCGCTGCATGTTGGCTTCAAACTATGGAATGGATTTCCTGAACGGCGGCGTGTCTCATGAACCCAGAGTAATAAGATCCGCCTCACATTCAGAAAATCCAGTTCATAGTTTGCAGCTAGCTACAACATGAGGACTGAGTTAGCAGCACTGTGGCTAAGAGCTAACAAACTTTTCATCGAAACATGTCCGCTGTGTGGAAGTATTTTACACTAAACACCACAAAACAAGACAGCAACGTGCAATGTCTGCAGAGCCATATCGCCACATTAAACCACGGTGAAGTTAGTTTTACGATGGACATTCGAGCTCCGTGGCTTCAGCGGGGCGCTGCTCTTTGCTCAAATGGAAAGAGGCGACTCGACCCTGGCCAGCCACGTCCAATCTGCCCCGCTCAGTCTGCCCGTCTCTGAGGAGGGACAGACTGAGCGCGGCTGCCCCAAATCAGACAGCCTGCTTCGGACTGAACAAGAAGAAGACATCGCTGAAACCACGGAGCTCAAATGTTTAGAGAAGTTGCTAAACTTCATCATGATTCATGACCAACCACTATCAGTTGTAGAAAACGAAGGATTTCACAGTTTGATATTTGCATCCAAGATATAGTTTACCCTCCAGGAGCTGTTTTAGTACAACAGTAGACGATCATAAAAAACATCCATCCATCCATCCATTATCTTTACCCGCTTATTCCATTCCAGGTCATGGGGGTCGCCGGTGCCCATGTCCAGCAATCACTGTGCGAGGGGCGGGGTACACCCTGGACGGGTCTCCAGTCCATCACAGGGCCACATAGAGACAAACGAGACAAACAACCATTCACTCTCTCACTCACACCTAGGGGCAATTTAGAGTTACCAATCAGCCTAACATGCATGTTTTTGGTCTGTGAGAGGAAACCGGAGAACCCGGAGAAAACCCACGCATGCACGGAGACAACATACAAACTCCACCCAGAAAGGCCCCTGGACTGGGGTTTGAACCAAGGACCTGCTCGCTGAGAGGCAGCAGCTCTACCAGTTGCGCCACCGTGCTGCCCTCATAAAAAACATGTGATTTGAAAATTATATTAAAAACATAAACAGCTACATTATAAAGTGATGTAAAATACTAAAAACGGGAACGTCTGTTGGTTTATGCCATGAACTTAGCAGGTGTTTGAAGCCATTTAACATTTTATTTTATTTAATTCATTAATTTAAAAGAAACAAAATAAAAAATAATAATGAAAAATAAAACATTGAATGAAAAGCGCTCAGTGCGATGCTTTGCATGATGGGATAAACCCACCAGCAACAGCTCTTAAAGGGCGAAGCCTATACGAAATAGAACCAATAGACATCTGCACGAGCTACAGATAATCTTGTCATATTAATCCAGGCTGAAACATCCATATTTATTTTACACCAGTCTGATTCCATCTCACATGCATTCATACCTCCCTGGATTTTTCTGACCAAACAGGTGTAATCATTCTTTACAGGTGTAAAAACAGGTGGTATTGCATCTCTAGGGGCCATAGGAAAATATTTTTCTAAGTTTTTTCCAACTGTCAGAGGGATTTTCCTTCATATGTAGTTCCAACATGCAGTGAAAACAAGTGTAATTAGAGAGAGGAGACAGTACCAGCAATAAAGCTGGTCTTGCCTTGGCAAAAACTACACAATCCATATAATTTACCTGTTTTGCTGCATTCTCCACATACTCTATCCAGTAATTGTTCTGAGTAAAACCTGTCTCTAGGGCTAGTTTTTCCTCATATGTCACATCTGTCAA